TGAGAGACTTGACATTTTCCCCTTCGAAGGCAGTACCAACTGGCTCTGATCCATTGGAGTTCTGCATGCATTGTCTCGAGCAAACCTGCGAGCTTGCAATTCCGTAGCACAGGCGTTTGTTTTGATACTTTTAAAAGACGTGACCAAGTATTGTGTCACTTCCTATGAAGTCATGTACACGAGTAGATTTCACTAAATACTTGAACTTAAGATATTTCTAATAAAACGAAAGCAATTTTTCTTCTATGTGTTATCCAACTGAGTATAAAGCTATTTGCAAAAGATCGTACTCTGCACAAGACAGCTGAGATGAAAGACTTTGGTAATCTGACTCGCCATCCATGTGGCGTCGGATTTTTGAAACGGACCAAATCACACAGCTATGAAAAACTTTCCAAGGAGTTTGCTATTCCTTGTTTTTCAATTTGTACCTCTTAAAACGACTAAAACTGGTTTTACAGATTTCAAACACGTTTTACCTTTCACTAATTTGGTATTTTCTTCATATGTGCTAGTTTTTCTTCAGTCTCTAGAAACATTGAATAACATCACAAGGAAAAGAAAAACTGGCAAGATGTTCAATATATAACTTAAAAACGGTAAAAGGTATTATAACTAAGAGATCAGTTGGCATTAAGAATTTTAAACTCAGGTCCGAAAACCGATTTCTTTCAAAGGTTGTCATAAATCTTTCTTGATTGCAGCCGGAAACCACAAATGAATATTTTACATGCGAATTGCTAGTCGAAAGCAGAAAAATAGGAGACAAAAAAAGACCCCTCACGTTCTTCAGGTCCGTCTTAAGAACGCGTCCTTACATTACAATCACCAAGCTGTGTTCGGGTCACTGAGACATGCTTCATCCTTGTGTATTTCAGTCGTGCAATTGTTGATGATGTGATGTGTGTAATTAATCTTCGCTGATGATGATGATCATCCATTTCATTTTGATTGTGAATTGTTCTTTTGTCCATTTTTGTGCTCTCTCTTTCCGTTTATCCATGATTCCTTTAATACTTATTCTGATAACACGAGGGACATTCTTCAGCATCATATCAATTTATCTTCTAATTCTGGTTTAGGAATGGCTTCGATAAACTTTAGATAGTGATTGTGATGATACAATCTTCGTTGTATGAGCACCTTTGGCATAACTTTATTAAACGCTTTGACTCTGTATGCCTTACTTGTTAAAGGTAGATTAGCGCTGCTATATAAGTTAGATCTGAGTGATCGTTAGAGTTGAATTATTTTGCCATGTCGACGTGTTTCACGGAAGTATTTCCTCATAAAAAAGTTATTGAAAGAAAAAAAAAAACGAAAAAAATGTATAGATAGATGTCTGGCAATTTTTGCGGTGGTACCTTTTTTTGCCAGGAGACTGACACTCAAAGTGCGTTAGTAAACGTATTTTATCAAAAAGACCACGTTGGAAGTTCTTCCTGTCAGCACCTGCCGATTGAATTCAATGATGCATTTCGATAAATTTAAATGTAGGCTTTTTTATTAACTTCATTTGCTGTTGGCCGCTGAAAATACTTAGACACTTCTGAATTGTTGATAACTTCTTAAAAATTTTGAATGAAATAATGAAAAAGAATCCATAAACTAAAAAAAAACCAAATCAAAACGAACCAAACTGAGCCTTGCTCACCATGGTCTTCAGTAGCTCAGCATCCGACTAGATCCCGGAGGGTCGTGGGTTCAAGTCCCATCTGGGACTTGGATTTTTTCGTATTACATTAAATTGTTTCATCTTTACATGCTCACTTTGGACGTTGGTTGGCCGCATCTTGAGATGCTTTAATGTGACAGCATGATGCTGTTAGTGAGTTTCACATGCGCTGGTCAATCTAACTTGGCTGTGTAGCCGCGCGATGCAGTTCCACTGAAGGCCCACAAATTGACCCTTGCTCACCATAGAGTCTCCAGTAGCTCAGTGGTTAGAGCATCTGACTAGATCAAGGAGGGTAGTGGGTTCAAATCCCATCTGGGACTTGGATTTTCTCGTATTACATTAAATTGTTTCGTCTTTACATGCTCCCTTTGGAAGTCGGTTGGCCGCATCATGAGATGCTTTAATGTGACAGCGTGATGCTATTAGTGAGTTTCACATGCGCTGGTCAATCTAACTTGGCTGTGTAGCCGCGCGATGCGGTTCCAGTGAAGGCCCACAAATTGACCCTTGTTCACCATAGAGTCTCCAGTAGCTCAGTGGTTAGAGCATCTGACTAGATCACGGAGGGGCGTGGGTTTAAGTCCCATCTGGGACTTGAAGTAAAAACGAAAACGAAAATCACAAGTGAATAGGAAAACAAGACAAAACGAAAAAAACCAAATATAATCTGAACGAAATGCTTGCATTTCAGGAATTTCTATCGGTTAAATCAGTCCAATGACGTCAGTAAACTTATTCTCTAATTCTCTTATTTTTCATCACTATACTGGCTTGTGTAAAAAGATGATGATATCATAATTTTAATTTGGGATCAACAGAAAGAATAATATGCTAATTTGCAGTTCAGTTGTCGTGGTAGAAAATATCAAAACTACATGAAAATTTACCTTCCTATGAATCACATGACAATTACATGACTTTTGTCGGACATATAGTTTTGCGCCCGCGCGGAGCGAGGGTAAATGCCCGACAAAAGTCATGTGATTATCATTATTAACAATACACAAGGCCAAATCATACAAATTCATTTAATAAGAAAACCTGTTTAGTCGCTATCATTACTCTCCATTATTCGGCAGCGTTTGCGGGTTGATGGCGACGGTTCTTCATACTTTCCGTGATAATTAATTATATTGAATATGTTGGATGCAATTTTGGTACGACTTTGCCAAGGAAATAAAATGGTTTTACCATGATCATGGTAATTTTTTTTCCAAAATTGGCAGTAATGTCTCAATGTAATTGTAATTCGCTGTTGTCGTTAGGAGTATAAACAACCCTGCACGCGTTAACAGGTAAGACAATGCCTTTATCAGCTCTCAAACGCTCAGTCCCCTATTGTCCCACAAACTGCTAGTGATCTGGAGCTCTTTATAGAGCTCACTAAATCCCCGATCTCCCAGCAACAATTATTTAAGCATTAGGAAAATTGTAGTGATAGCCGGTTCCAGTCCAGGGATAGCACTATCATGAAAAGATCGAAGAAAACAGATTCCAAAATAGCGCATTCGTTCGCACGCTCTACTTTGTCAGTTTTTTTCTTTTTTCTATTAAGACGAACTTGCGATTCAGAGACGTTATTTCGTCCTTCAGTTGGATAAAAGTAATTTTCGAAGAGATAATCGAATCCTAAGCGGGAAATAATAGAAAACACTTATTGTTTAACAGACTTGTGTGGGCTTGATACGAAGCAAAAAGGATGCTGATTAAGTTGTAGCTGTAGAGATAAACAAGTAGTGACCTTTTGGTAAAAATCGAATGCTAATGGCCATTACAAATCATACACTTGAAATAACCAGCTTGAAGTATGCTCCGCTTTTACAAGTTCATGAGTTCTGGCAGTATTCCCTTCAGAGGTTATCTTCGGCCAAGAGAACCCCCCTGATTACGCTTCACCTTTGTACAATCCTTAGAGCGTAACTTGCATAATAATGGAGTTAGCAACCTGAAAGGCTCACCTTTGAGCCTGAGGTGTTACCAAATCGATCCCTTGTTTTTGAGAAGGACGTAGAGTTGAAAATACTTCAAGCTTTCCTCATTAGGGCACCTTTAATAAAAGCATTTTTTCGATTTTGGAAGGGTGGAGTTATTCAAATGAATATGCCAGTGCAAGAAAGGAGGAGCTTGAAAAGAAGAACCTTATTGTGTCTTGGTTTGAATTAGAGCCCCTTACATAGAACAAATTTCAAACTATTCGCCATAGTCAATTGTTGTCCCTACACCTTATTAGTGTTAGTCGCCTAAACTGACATTTAGTAACATAAAGCATAACAGGAAGTCTTACAGATGTCGCCACTTAAATTAATGCAGTTTCTGATGCCTTTATTAACATTTGTATTAATTTTGCCTCTTGCTAAACTCCTTTCCCCGTCAGTATCTCGTTTGCGATATCAAGAGCGCCTTTGCGAAAGACAGTCTGTCTCAAAATTAATTGTACGAGTGAGGGAAAGCAACAGAATAAACACGTACGTCGAAAAAATTCTACGTTTTTAGAAGGTAAAAAAAATTGCATTTAAATGATCTTATGTTTGAGTTACGTCTATTTCTGTATTTTTCTGCTTGGAGTCCTTGTGGGTGAGTTTCTTCATTACTGTTGTCACGGTTTTGAGTAGAATAACTCGAATTTGGTGCCTGCAGAACCGAACAGGCAACAGAGACAGAAGGTGAGTGTTTTCAGGTTTAATAAGAATTTTCACGCATCAAAGTTGGTGAAGGAGTAGATTGCTAGCTCTCTGTTTAAATTTAAATTTCAATTCAAACAGCATTCACCATAGAGCATAGACCATATCACCCCTTTAAAATCCTTTTAATAAAGATTTTCAAGGACTGTTGATATCTTGGTGAAACTTTATCTCTGTTCTATAGAGAAATTTTAAAGAATTTTATTGATCGAAATATATGAACAGTACTGTTTCCTCTATGTTTCTTGTTTTTCTTTCCCAAAGGTAAATAAATGCAAAAGTTTGACAATCGGCCCGATAGGTGGGCATTAATTGTTTGCTATCATAACTAAACGAAATGACGGTTATTTCCTGTCCTAATTTGTCAAGATTTTCTCTTTCTCAGTTGTTACGGTTGCCATTAAGGTTCCATGAAAAATAACTGATATGAATTAATTAAAAAATACATGGAAGTTTCGATCGCCACACGACCTTTTAATCGCTTTAAACATATAGAAAACATGTCGACGTTACCTTTTCTTCAAATGTTTCTGACCTTGTAATTTTTTAAAAGGGAAAAATATGCTGACCAGTTCTTAATGAAAAAACAATCCGGATATATGTGTCAAAAGCAGAGTCATCTATTGTTTCTCAACCTTACTTTCTTGAACAATGACCACATACACGCGTTTTGCTTAAAAGCAGGCTGAGAACATCATAATTACATTTTGCACTGCTCTCAAACACTGACTTGTAGGCTCCTTTTTAGTAATCGAATATCCGAAAAGGCGGAGATTTTCAAAAGCAAACTTGGGTCCAATCATGCGAAGAGCAAAGAACTGTGGTGTTTTCTTCTTGTTTTACATTTTGACGGTCATCCCGAGCTGTTTTTCAGGTTAGCCTTCTCTTTACTTTGTTGATGATTATAATTATTCACATAAAAGTCTAACGCTATAAAATGAAGCTGAAAAAAGCTGCAGTATTAAAGGAAATCTTTTGTTTTCGTCATTTTATTCTTTATCAAAGAACTGTATTCATAATGAAGTATGGGGCTGTGCTAAAATTAAAAAATTAAACAAGCCTTACCTGTAAGGTGAAGTTTGATTGGAATTCTACCTCCTCATTGTCGCATAGAGAGATCACATGAGATAGCGCATGCGTGGTGAAGATCATCCTTTAAAGAATCAGGCCCGTGACAATAAACCCTCCAAGGGGGGGGGTAGAATCATATTGGGTGGGCATGTGATCTCTCTATGCAACAATGAGGAGGTAGAATTCCAATCAAACTTCACCTTACAGGTAAGGCTTGTTTAATTTTTTAATTCTACCTCCTCATTTGCATATTCGAGATCCCATGAGACTTTGAAGCACACGGGCCCAATGCAATAATAAGTCCAGAGCAATAATTATAATCACAACAACTGGTTTATTGTCCAAAAAAAAAACAATTTTTCCACATCATCATTAAAAAGAACAGCTTAGGACAGATTTCCCAAAATTAGTGTCATCTTTGGTATCCTTCTTATAATAAGTAGCAAAGGTGCATTCTGCAGACCATCCTGCTGCAGCCATTATTGTTTCTAGAGGTATGCCCTTCCTGAATGGAGCTGAAGTGGAGGCTGCTCTGGTACTATGTGGCATGAATGTTTTTGTATCAATGCCTGATTGTAGCATCACTGTTTTCACCCACCTAGAAATAGTACTCTGACAGACAGGGTGATGTGGTTTGGCAAAACTAAGGAATAGATTAGTATGCTCAGAGCTTCGAATAGACTCTGTTCTTTTCAGATACTCTTCTAAATATGTCATAACACACAATCTCTTGTCTACAGGATATGCAGGCAACACCAGTACTGGTGGCAGCTTGCCTGGCCTAGATTGTTTCACTAATTTGTGGATGTGAAACTTGTATGAAGATTTCCCTTTAGTCAAATGCATAATGTTCATTAAGTGAACTGACTGGCATCTTTGTCCACTAACCAACATGCACAACATAACCAATTTAAAAGTTAATAATTTCAAGTTCAGGTTTTTAGCAGGGCTCCAAGTTTTGAGCAAATCCAAAACCTTAGATACATCCCATATTGTCTGATAA